TCCACCACTGCCTGAGACATTCTTGTCCTGATACTCAGCATGTGTCTTTGATTTCTCTGTGAGAGAACTAACAGAAGATACCTGTAATGGAGGAAAAAACTGGCAAATAAAATGAGCCATAATTACTTAGTACCACAAAGCAGTAAAATTATTTAGCTGAGGAAAGCTGCAGGAAAGACGAACTGACAAATTGCTGTGACTGTGGAAGGCCTTAGAAAAGCTTCCCCAGAGTAATTGTCTTGGGCTGGACGTTGCATAGTATGTTAACGTGCAGTGGGAAGGACTTGAGAAGGCCTCTTGCCAGTGATTGAGAAGAAAAAAAAGTAAGAGTTACGATGTGTAGCTCAGTGAGTTTTAAATATAGATAATAATGTTTTGATGTGGAAATAGTTACTGGTTAGCACTTTGTATTATGCATCTGCTGTGGTGAAAGCAATGTGATTCTTATTTTGTTTACCATCCCATAAAAAACATAGAAAGTTCTAATGAGATTAAGCTCTGTTTTGGGAAAGAAACTAGAAAGCAGAAACAAAACACTCTGCTTTAAGTTTTAAGTGATGTGTATAGGTCTGCTTCAGAAGGTAAAGTCTCTTTTCTATGTGCCTTGAGAAATAGTGCATGTAGATGAAAATGAAGCAGAGCTTCCATTTGGTGGTTCAAAATGAAAAGGACAAATTGACTTTTCTGAGCTGGTTATTACATTGGGGAGTTTCTCACCTGAACTCTAAGATTAACTGAAGAGAAAGTCAATTTGCTTTTTTATCAGTAGCTGAATTTTCTGTCTTTGGTACAGTAGGTAATCCATGTTAGCAAGAAGGTTATGGGTTTTGGTTCTGCAGAAACTGAACTTAAAAAGATCACTCGGTAAGCAAACATGATGGTATTTCTACATCAGTGAAATGCACACCCACAACAGTACCCTTGTTCTGATCATTAACTCAAATTACTCTAATTGGTGTGAAAAATATATGGATCTCTGAAGTCTACTGCACGCTGACTGGAGGCCACTTCTGTTTGCATTTCCCAGTTGTTGCATAGCTATTAGGACATGGAGCAGGGAACTGAAAGGAAGGAAGGGGCAAGTGTTCTGGTAACAATAGAAACAGGAAAGGTATAGCATGAGGTGTGCTATCTTAGTGTGATTTCTTGTTCTCAAGAGTTTTGAATGATTGACGGACTCTCTAGGAAATTTCTTATGTGAATCCATATATAGCCAGATCTGTATCCTTTCTATCTCAAGTGAACTTGGTGGGAAATTTGCCCCGTTCAGGGTATGTAGGTCATTTTCTAGTTCCATGTAAAGATTCCTTGCATTAACCCTGCAGAGGGGAACTTTCTCTTTCATTCGGACATTTAGGGATTCCTGTTATAAACCAAAGAAGAGAAAACTACTTGTGCATTTCTAATTTTAGTTTCTGCAATGGAGATCAGAGGAATATTGTTGCTTTGGATTTATTTTCATCTGTTTTGTTCTGTGCCGGTCCAGATGAAAGTGCTGCAGTATTTACAGCCCTTTGCTCCGTCCAAGTGCTGTTGCAGTGCTGTGAAATACCATTTTGAAGGTTCTGTTTCATGCAGCCTGCATATACGTGGTCCCCTCTTGGTGTGAAGGTATCATGGCACATGTTTTGCTTTCCTTTGGACGCTGTCTCTACCTAAGCAAACCCTTCTCACAGCGGACAGTCCAGCTGCAAAACCTTGGCATGTAAACTCAATCCATTGTGTCAGGCAACAGTTGAGACAGAGGACGGAGAGAAACCCATGGGCCCTGGTGATGAGGTTTGCAGCCCAGTGTGGAGAGAGCTGGCTGGAGCCATGCTGGAGAATGGTTTCTTACTCAGGAGAGAGCAGTGCATAGCTGTGTCTACCTGCTCCTGGGGAACCCTTGCAGCACCGTTACCCACTGGCTCCTCCTAGAGAAGCTGTTGGAGTTTGGAGTGGAGCAGCAGGCAGTCAGATCAGAGCCTGAACGGTCACACTTAGCAGGTGGTGATAACAGGAGACCATGCCACCCATTGCCATGGATTCTTGGAGCACAACAGATACAAAAAAGCTTCAGGCCAAGGTTGCTGACTGTTGGGTGCTGTCCTGCTAAGCCTGAAGGATGCGTGACCTGGTGCTCCATGCTAAAAGAAAGGCAGGAAAGTCCTGCCTCAACTGGGAGCCTCCCACAAAACATCCGAGGCTGGATGAAATTGTGAGGCTGAGACGCAAGGATAAAGTAAGCCAAGAAAATGGCAGATGTGTTTGGCAGCCTCCAGCCAGATGTCCTGGGCTGGATGAAATGCTGAGGCTGAGGAGGAATAGAAAACTAAGGCCAGAAGATGACAGCCTTCTTTTGCAACCTCCCGCAAAATGTCCAAGGCTGAACTGAAGAACAAGGCTCATGAGGAAGAGAGAATGAAACCTGGGAAGGCAGGACCTCATTTGCAGTCTTCTGCTAAGTGCCAAAAGATTGGGATGGACCTCATTCCAGCATCCTCCAAAGGAAAACTTCCAGCTGAGAACAGGTGGCAGTTATTGAGGAGTAACTGATTAGGGGAAAATACTTCTATAGAGAGAGGATATATATTTGAACTTAATAGAAGTTGATAAAACTTTATGTATTATATTTGAACTGAAGTTCTGTGATCTCATGTTGATGGGAGAATTCATCTTGTGAACAAGCATATGAAGCCAATTTGCAAAAGCAACTGAGGCATTTTGTGTCTAATATTGAGCCTGAATCTAATGGTGCAAAGAGATGAATTGCTACAGCTGTTGGGACACTTCCAGCCAAGACAAAGTGGCTGTGTGTCACCTGCGGAACTTAACAGCTAGAAGGGAAATCTTTGAAAGGTTGGTTCATAGTTTGTGCAGTTGTGCTGCAGAGCAATTCAGTGGTTGGAAGGTTTTTTCCAAGTGTGGGAACTTTCACAGCGCCCTTGTTGCTCCACTTCTGAAAGCTTTGCTGTACGCCATGGGCTCTGTTAAACTTCTGCTTCCTACTTTCTGATATTTCTAAGGAGTTATTGATTAGGACAAAATAGCTTATATAGTCATGTATTTGGACTTGTTAATAAACCTTAATATGTTATATTTGAACTGAAGTTCTGTGATCTTAAGTTGATGAGTTGATGTTCATCTTGTGAACAGGTACATGAAGCCAATTTGCAAAAGCAGCTGAGGCATTTTGTGTCTAATATTGAGCCTAACACAGACAGGTACTGGCAGTGTAATCTATCAGTCACTGTCATCTGGAGCACGTGAAGCCTGTGGCAACTGCAAGAACAGTAACCCAGGCTATTGTCCTTCTGAGCACCCCAGGTATTTCTGAAGCCTATTAATGGCATTTTTAGGTCTTGCCAACCCCAGATGGTGGCAATATAAACCTGAATATTCAAAATGACACTGGGTCAGTAAGTAGGGCTTTCTAAAATAATACCCAAGTTTTCAGATTTCGTTTTTGGCAAAAAAAAAAAACAAAAACAAACAAAAAAACAAACAATATTTGAAATGGTACAAATGAATCATAAAATGGCCTGGGTTGAAAAGGATCACAGTAATCACCTCATTCCAACCCCCTGCTATGTCACCATCCTGATAAACAGCCCTTCCCCTTCCTGTTTCTATGCTCCCTTCAAGAATTGGAACGCCACAATGAAGTCTCCCCACAGCCTTCTCTTCTCCAAGCTAAACAAGCCCAGCTCCCTCAACCTTTTCTCATAGGAGAGGTGCTCCAGCTCTCCCTCCACGTCTTCCTGCACTGGTGGCCCCGTGCCTGGACACAGTACTGCACATAACATCTATGAGATATATAAGGCCCTGTAAGATCTGAGTAGAGGGGGACAATCACCTCCCTCTCCATGCTGGACACTCATTTTTTTAATGCAGCCCAGAACACAGTTGGCCTTCTGGGCTGCAGGCAGACACTGCTGGCTCATGTCCAGCTTCTCATCTGCCAGGACCCCCAAGTCCTCCTCTGCAGCACTGCTCTCAAGGAGATCTTCGCCCAGTTTGTGTAAGTAACTGGATTGCCCCGACGCAAGTGCAGCACCTTGCATTTGTAATGATTCTGTGATTCTATGATCCTGTAAAAAGTAAGTCTTGGACAGGAAGTTTTGTGGCACTGGGCTGCACGAGAGTCAGAAAATCATCTTTTTTTAAAGCTGTAGGGCAAACATTTCCAGTGCTCGGTCAAGAAGCTGCATGAAGCCCAGACAGCCCATCCCGCAGTCGCCTCCTGGCCCACACCATCACGGTGTCAGCAGTGAGTGGCCCAACCCGGCCCAGGCATGCACCCATCACTTGCAGCAGCTGAGCATCAGCGTGTGTGATCAGCACTGACTGGGCTCCCCAGGACATGGGGAGGGCACAGTGCAGTGCTGACTCAAGCGATGGCAGATAACTGTGCATTTTGATGCAGTGCCTGAACACAGTCCTGTGAACAGTGAAAAACATGTAGCTGTGCTTTCCATTTTGATAAAGGGATTTGAGAATAAGTTTCAAGATTGCAAAAAAATCACTAAATTTGTGGTGTATTTGCAACTCCATTTTCAGTAGATAATAGATAAAGAAAATAATATTGTTCCCACTGTCTTTCTAAGGAGATCTTTAGCAAAAAATTAATATGTATAGGCATGTGTGAGCACCAGTATTGTCCTTGTTCAAAATGGCTTTGAAAGAAGTCATTTGAGATGACAAATTTAAAAGTTGGTGTGCGTGATATGACAGGGCTCAGGCAAATGACATAACCAAGTGAGGCAAAGCGCATTCAAAATTACTGAAAGGATTTACTACAGCGTGGAATGGAGCTGTCAAGCAGACTAGGTCTCTCATTTGGTTGTTCTGTTGGCTCACTGCACTTTGGTATGACACAGCTGTGCTTTCTCAAAGGTGACAGGCTGTTGCATCCTGACTGCACTGGATTCTGTGATAAAAGTCCTTCATGCAAGGCAGTGAATAGCTGAACAGGATACAGAAAATCTGAATCTTGCTTACCTTGAAAAACTGTCTTACAGGGATGTGGCGGCTCAAATGATCCCGGAAGCCTAAGGAAATCTGGAGCAGCAAGATGGTGGAGAAGAGTCTTGGTACAAATATGGAGTTGATCCCTTTCCAGCTGATGAGCGCTGCAGGAAAGGCTCAGACCATGCTGTGGAGAATGTGAGCTCTTCAGTTACCGAGCACCATTCATGGCAGTGCTTCTCCTCGAGACCATCCGTGACTTAAAAACTTACCAAGGCTGCAGAAGCAGTGGGCATGGAAAAAACAGAGCATCAGGCCAGACTTCAGCTGGAAGTGTGATCAAGCGAGTAGCAGTACCCAAAGAAAAGAGCTACATCAGGTAAGCTATTCAGATATGCTTCTGGTTGGTTTGGCAGAGCTCAAGGACTGAGTGGCACCTTCTGGAGCTTTTTCCATCAGAATTATTGAAGTGCATGGAAGCAGTGAGTGCTCTTGTCACAATGCTGTTTTTCACTGGCAACAGTTCTAGCCACGGTGTGTACTTGCCTATGCTGTGAAGCAGTTGGATACCAAGGGAATAGGCATAGTTTAAATGCCAAGACAGATTACAGCAAAACAGACAGTTTGGAAGGGGCTGGACCACGGCCAGGCAAAGCAGTGCTGGGGGTCTGCTGGTTCTCTCCACGCCAGTTGGTGCTGCAGAGGAATTGTTGTACTTGACCATTTCAGTGGGCTTGCACACCAGTGTGCAGGTGGTGCTTGCTGGGTCGGAGCATCTTCACCGCGTCACACTGGGCAGAGCCCCCTCCCCATGATCCAGCACACAGTGGAGCACTCTGCCTTGCCCCTCACAATCCATACGGCAGCGGATGCTGGGGGCCAGGCAGTCCCTTAATTTTTCACTCCATTAAGTGTTCATGCTCTCTTCCCCTGTCTCGCTGTTGTTCATAAACATGACAGACAATAATCAGAAAACAAAAGCATCTGAGTCCTCTCTTCTGGCAAAGCAGCACATTCACAACCAACATCAAAGGTGGGCTTTGGTAATCATTAGCGCAATGCCACGTTTCAACGTGATCAAAGCAACCAGTGCCCAGTCACAATAAAGAAGATGGAGCTGTGATTCAGACGCTCAGTGAAAGGCAACGAGAAAGAGAGCTGGGAGAGGGTGGGAGAGAGCATGTTAAATATAGGGGGGCATACAGCTGAGATATCCTTTTACATCAGAACTGATTTTCATTTCAAACCCAATTACACCTCGGAGCTGTTCAGCCCAACATTGCTGTCATCTTTAGCTTTCAGTTGACATTGCAGATTGTGGAATAGAAAAAGCTACCACAAAGCATGTCTCAGTTGAAACTCAGGAATCCTGACGTTTGTGACTGCAGATGGGTAATTTGTTGAGAGCTGGGATACACGCTCCAGCCTGATGGGTGCTGCCTACCAGACTGACTCAGTTGTAGGTGAGGGACTCTAGCTATCACCTAATCAATAACAGGAGCCATTTTGCTTGCTCCAGTATAGGGTAGAAAGCTCTGAACGTAGGGATGCTGGCTTTAGTGCAGCTGTGTGCCGTTAGCCAGAAAAATTAATGTGGTGGGAGGCATGCATAGTGGTCATTCTTCAGGCCACCGGAAACAACTGATAATTTTTTATTCTCCCTGACCTACACAGCTCAGGCTTCAAAACTACCCAAGGGAAACCTTGGAATCATAGAGTGGCTCAGGTTGGAAGGGACCTTAAGATTGCCTGTTTCTAATCCTCCTGCCATGGACAGGCACATCTTCCAAAAACATTAAATATCAGGAAGCAGGAGACTGAGATGAAATGGAGATGATTTGTTTTCCTTTCCAAGGATAGTGGCTGTGATGGATGAAGCTGCCCAGAGCCGTATGCAGTGTGGCCTTCAACTCATCCAGGGATGGGGCATCCACAACTTCTCTAAGTTGTCTGTGCCATTGCCTCACCATGCTCTGAGTAAACAATTTCTTTCTAAAATCTAATCTCTTCCGGTTTAAATCCATTTCCTCTTGTCCTATCAATATCAAACTGTGAAAACACTCTGTCAGTCTGTGAAAACACAAACTGTCAGTCACTCTCCTGTTCATAAGCTCCCTTTAAGCACTGGGAGGCTGCAACGAGATCTCCCCAGAGCGTTCTCTTTTCCCTGTCTGTACACATATCTGGGATTGCCTCGACAGAGTTGCATCACACATGGAGTCTCACTGGGTTCAAGTTTGCTCCAGTCCCTTTGGGTAGCATTCCTTCTTTCTGTTCTGTCATCAGCTCCACACAGCTTGGTATCATCCACAAACTTGCTGAGTGCACTCAATCCCACCGTCTGTGTCACTGATGAAGATGTTGAAGGCTACCAGTCCCATGGCGGAACCGTGGGGGCCACCATCCACATCCACCTTCTTCTGGACATTGAGCGACTGACCACACCCTCTGTGGGGGTCAGACACCCATCACCCATGTCTTAAAATACTTCAGGCATAAAGAATCTTCTGTGTGCTGGGAATGCCATCCCAGTGACTGGCTGCTGCAGTTGTGTAATCACGCTCTCTGTTCTGCATTCAGATTCAAGGATCCTTGAATTCAAGCAAGTTTGCTGAAGTCACCACGCTGAGTGGTGCAGTGGACACAATAGAACGGAGGGCACTGAGAGGGGCCTTGACAGGCTTGAGAAGTGGGCACTTGAGAACTTAATGAGTTTCACCAAGGCCAAGTGCAAGGTGTTGCATTTGGGTTGAGGCATTCCCAGGTATGTGTGAGGTTGAGGGAGCTGGGATTGCTCAGTCTGGAGAAAAGGTGGCTCTGGAAAGACGTCATTGATGCCTTCCAGTACTTGAAGGGAACTTACATGCGGGAAGGGGACCACATTTTTTTGTGGTCTGATACTGATAGGACAAGTGGGAACAGTTTTAAACCAAAAGAGGGGAGATTTAGATTACATATTTAGAGGAAATTCTTTACCCAGAGAATGGTGAGGCCCTGGCACAGCTGCCCAGAGAAGTAGTGGATGCCCCATCCCCAGAGGCACTCAAGGCAGGGTTGAATGTGGCCCTGGGCAGCCTCATCTCACAGGTGGCAGCCCTTCCCATAGCAGCAGGTTGGAAGCAGGTAATCTGAAGGCCCCTTCCAACCCAAGTCGTTCTATGTTTGTATGATTCAGTGACACTGATTCAGGGCAAGATGGACAGAGAGCTATCAGAGTTTGCATTTTGGAGCTTGGGAGTTCGGGGTTGCTGGTAGTGAATTTTGTTTCTTTTGTTTTAATTGTTTGTTTTGTTTCTTTTTTTTTTTTACATTAACCTAGATTTCTGAAAGTCTACTCCCCAGATCGTAGTCCAGATCTGCAGCTGAATCAGTCCGTCTTCTGTAAGTGAAAGTACCTGAGTTTCCTAAGTCTTTCTCTGGAGGACAGATTTTCTACACTGACTTGTGAAAAGGATGTTATAGAGCGTGTGTTAGAAGGAGAAAACAAGCAGAAAATCAGACTTAGTAAACAGGAACACATTGTCAGGGCATGAAAGTTTTGCAGAATCAGCAAAGCCTCAAGGAATATTGGCATGTTGTGTAGACAGTTGTCTTGGTTTCAGCTGGGACAGAGTTGATTTTTCCTTCATAGTGGCTGGTATGATGCTGCTTTGACTTTAGGGGAAAAATGATGTTGATAACACACCAACATTTTAGTTGAGCAGTGCTGTACAGTGCCAAGGATATTTCAGTGACATTTCAGTGTCTCAGCTTCTTGTACTGCCCTACCAGCAAGGGAACTGAGGTCACAAGGAGCTGGGAGGGGACAGAACCAGGACAGCTGACCCAAACTGGCCAAAGAAGTGTTCCATACCGAAAGGCATCATGCAAATAAAAGCTAGAAAAGCAGCAGAGATTTGGCAGGGCGGGCAACCCTTCCTTGGGGATGGGATGGGTATTGGTTGACAGACGATGAGCAACTGCTTGTGCATCTCTTGGATGTAGATACATACATGCAAATATATGTGTGTGTATATATATATATATATATATAAAAAATTATCATTACTGTTATTTCTCACTCTTCCTTTTACGTATTTATAACTAGTTGTAATCTCAACCCAAGTGTTCTACTTCTTTTTTTTCCAATTCTCTCCCCAGTCTCTACTGGGAGGTAGAGAGGAGTGAATGAACGACCGTGGTGCTGAGCTGCCTGCTGGGTTAAACCACAACAGCAGCAATATAAACATGAGTTTGTCAACTGCTAAGAGAAATGGAAGTTGCTATTTGAATTGTGTGTTGGAAAAAGGTGTCATGGGAAATCACAGAGGATAAAGAGCAATGAATTAACAGGCTGGGTATGTGGAGTACTGGAAGGAAATCATTTAGCTTAAAAGAATGGGATGGGGAATAAGCTTCAGGCAGAGAGCTGCTTGTTTGTGTTGGCAGTGAGTGTAAAACTGGCGCTGCTTTGTTCACACCCACAAAGTTTTGTCAGTGTACACAGTAGAGCAGTTCAGCTCTTAATCTGAATCATGAATCAGCTTCAGCTGGATAGTTTTCATGTTTTGCTCCATCTTCTGGATGAGAGCAGCATAAGCTGTTCTACCTACTGGAACCTCTTCAAACTCATCTACTTCCTACTTCAGAAGTGAAGAGGATTTCCTTTCCAAAAGCTCTGAAGTCACAAGCTATGATAATATAGTCACCTGTGCCTTTTCAGCATGTAATTGAGCATTCTTCTAATCTCTGCAGAGAGCTGGGTGCATGTAATTGAGCATTCTTCTAATCTCTGCTGGATCCCCAGGGACTGGCACATGAAGTACAGGGCATAAGCTAGCAAGCAGAAAATGGTGATCAGCCTAATCTGACCAAAAAGATTCCTGACAATTTTTGCTGCTCTGTTTTTCAACTGTGAGCACCCTATTCCAGTAATCTTGGTCCTTTGTTTAGGAAATGGTCCTGTGTCCAGGACAATCAATGCCCAATGGTTCTATGTCCAGGAGGAGGCCAGCTGTCTCCCAGGGGACATCTTTATCAGTGACATCGATGACGGAATTGGCTGCATCCTCGGCAAGGATCCAAGCTGAGTGTTGCAGTTGACATGGTAGGAGGAAGGAATGCCATTCAGAGGGACCTCAACAGAATCTAAAGCTGGTCCATACAGACCTGAAGGAGTAGTTCTTGAGAGCTGCCCTGCAGAGAAGGACCTGTGGTTCCTGGTATGAATGAAAAAGCTTAACATGAGTCAGCAGTGTGCTGTTGTTGCTTGGAAGGCCAGTGGTATCCTGGACTCCATCAGAAAAGGGATGGACAGCAGGGACAGCAGGGAGGTGATTGTCCCTCTCTGCCTTTATGAGGACCCACTGGAGTATGCATCCAGGTTGGAGCCCTCAATAC